TTATCTGACAAATTGCTTTCTTTCATTTCAAGTAGTTTCTTTTCTGGTGATTCCTCCTTTTCTTCCATTTGGGTGTTGTTTCTTTGTCTCACCATTTTACCAGTCTGGTAGTTCTAGGCCCGGTGAGGGATGTTGGAATGTGTAGGCAGGTCGGTGTGTATCAAATAAGGCTCCTGTGCCTTCCAGACTGTTTTGGTGTGTGGCACCTCCTGCCTGCTGTGGGTCTGGAGGCTTTACAGTTGGTGGCTGGTTTTGGTCTGTCATGTTAGGCACTCTTGGGGTGCATGGGTCCAGTTAATGTGCTGCTGGGGTGCATGGGTCCTCCTGGTGCACTACTGGTAAGCGTGGGTCCTGCTGGTGCCCTTTTGGGGTGCATGGGTCATGCTGGTGTGCTGCTGGGGTGTGCTTCTGCCTGGTAGGGCTCAGCTCTTGATCAGTCAATGTTGGGGGTGGGTGTCATCTCCTCGTTTGCACTACTACTGCTGCTGCTGTTGCCAGGGGGTGCTCTCAGCTCCCAGTCCTCTGCTGCTGTTGGTGACTGAGGCTGCTCAGCTCCTGGGACATTGCTGCTGCTGGGGGAGGGGCTCCACTCCATATCCGCTGAGGCAGTTGTCGGGAAGGTCTGGGCTTCCAGTGTCTTGTTGCTGCTTGAGCTGGGGCACTGCTCCTAATCAGCTTCTGTTGATGCCAATGGGGATGGGTCTCAGCTGCTGATCTGTGCTGCTGCTGCCTGGGGATGGATGTCCGCTCCAGAGCCTCTGCCGCTGGGGGTGTGTCTCAGCTCCTGAGCCTCAGCTGCTGGTGAGGGTGGGGCTCCACTCCCTCCCAGTCACTGCTGTTGTGGGGGAAGGTGCTGGGCTCTGATCAGGTTGCTGCTTCGGGGATGGTGCTCGGCTCCCGGCTGGTTGCAGCTACTGTAGCAGGCACCTCCATAGCACCGCTGCTGTGCACTGGTCCACATTGACACAGTGCGGTCCACTGGTTCGATGGTGCAAGGGACTCAGGTCGCTTGGCCCTAGCTGCTCCCTACTGCCTCCTCCCAGAGAAGACTAGGGATCTTCCAAAATGGCAGGGCCTCCTGGCTGTGCAGGGAGAAGTGTCCTGACAAGCCACTTACCCGTCCACAGCACAGGAACCCTCTGCTTCATGTTTCTGCACAGCTCAGGATTGCTTGTCCACATTCACATCCACTCACACTCTTTCTCACACTCTGACATATTCATCCTCACTCTTGTCCTGCCTGCCACTATCTCCTTAAAAACAGCTCTCCCCTTGGCATTCTTAGTTTGCAAGTTCATCGCCCCAATCTCTGCATTTGTCATCACATGATATTCTTCCTGTGTCTGTCTTCACATAGTTTTCCCTCCACTTAAGAAGACACAAGTCATATTGGACTGAGGGACCACCCTACTTCGGTATGACCTCAATCATACTAATTATATCTGCATGTATAATAAGTACACCTGGAGGTTAGGGCTTTAATATATTCTTTTGATAGATACAATTTCAATCCATAACAGAGAGGTCATGTTTCACTTAACTGGGGTTCAAATTAGTGTTCCCTAGCATCAAATTGATCATAAATGTTCATCTGTATTAACCATTATTAGCTCTAGGACTATACACAAACAGATGGACGGTCAGATTTGGCCCCTCGATTAGATGTAGATTTGTAGATATTAGGAAAAAAGAAAAAAAAGGAGGGCCCTGGCTGATTTGGCTGAGTGGTTGGTGTGTTAGCCCATGGACCAATGAGTTGCGGGTTTTATTCCAGTCAAGGGCAGTATCTTGGTTGTGGTTCGTCCCCGGCCCTGGTCAGATCATGCGGGAGGCGACCAGTCAGTGTGTCTCTATCACATCAATGTTTCTCTCTCTCTCTCCCCCCCCTCCCTCCCACCCTATCTAATGATAAATAGAAAAATATCCTCAGGTGAGGAATTAAAACAAACAAAGTAGGGAATGAGTAATATTTAAAGTAACTGTGCCCACCCAGTATGGCTCAGTGGATTGAGCATCTTCTCATGGACTGAGAGGTCCAGGTTCAATTCCTGGTCAGGACACATGGCCGGGTTGCAGGATTGATCCCCAGTAGGGGGTTACAGGAGGCAGCCAACTAAGGTTTCTCTCTCACATCAATGTTTCTATCTCCTTTCCTCTCTCTCTAAAAAGTCAATAAAAACATATTTAAAGTAGTTGTTACTTTTCTGTGTAAACACATTTTAATTTGATGTAGTCTCATTTTTTTTTTTTTATTTGAAACCATTAACAAAACAAAAAGGCAACCTACCAAATGGGAGAAGATATTTGCAATGATATACTTGATAAGGGGTTAATATCCAAAATATATAAAGAACTCATACAACTTGCCCTGGCTGGTTTGGCTCAGCAGTTAGAGTGTCGTTCTTCAGTCCAGAGAGACCTAAGGGCACGTACCTCCGTTGCAGTTTGTCCCCGGCCCTGATTGGTCGTGTGGGTGGCGGCCACTCAATGTGTCCCTTTCACGTTGATGTTTCTCTCTCTCTCTCTCTCTCTCTCTCTCTCTCTCTCTCTTCCTCTCTCTCCCTCCCACTCTGTCTGGGCAAAAAAAATGGAAAGATGTCCTAGGGTGAGGATGATTAAATAAATAAATAAATAAATAAGAACTCATACAACTCAACGAACAAAAAAAAAGATTAAAAAATGGGCGGAGGACCGAATCGACATTTCTCTAAAGAAGACATACAAATGGAAATGCAAATCAAAACCACAATGAACTATCACCTCACACCTGTCAGAATGCCTGTTATTCAAAAGGCAACAAATGACAAGTTTTGGTGAGGATGTAATGAAAAGAGAACCCTTGTGTACCGTTGGTGGGGTTTTAAATTGGTGCAGTCACTATAGAAAACAGTATGGAGATTCCTAAAGAAATTGAAAATAGAATTACGATACGACCCAGCAATTCCATTTCTGGGTATATATCTGAAGAAAATGAAAACACTAATTTAAAAAGATATATGCATCTCTGTGTTCATTGCAGCATTATTTACAGTAGCTAAGATATGGAAACACCCTTGGTGTCCATCAATAGATGAATGGATAAGGAAGATGTGATATACACAATGGAATATTACTCAGCCACAAAAATAATGAAATCTTAGCATTTGTGACAACATGGCTGGGCCTAGGCAGTATTGTGTTAAGTAAAATAAGTCAGACAGAGCGCCTAACATGACAGACTAATACCAGCCACCAACTGTCAAGCCTCCAGACCCACAGCAGGCAGGAGGTGCCACACACCAAAACAGTCTGGAAGGCACAGGAGCCTTATTTGATACACACCGACCTGCCTACACATTCCAACATCCCTCACCGGGCCTAGAACTACCAGACTGGTAAAATGGTGAGACAAAGAAACAACACCCAAATGGAAGAAAAGGAGGAATCACCAGAAAAGAAACTACTTGAAATGAAAGAAAGCAATTTGTCAGATAAAGAATTCAAAGCAATGATTTTAAGGGTCCTCAAACAATGTAGTGAGAACTACAAGCAACTTAATAAGAATTATGAAGGGCTCAGTGAGAACTACATCAGATTAAAAAAAGAGGTAGAAGCTATGAATAAAAATCAAGAGGAAATAAAGAATGACACAGCATTATGAAAAATACTTTACAAGGACTCAATAGTAGATTAGAAGAAGCTTAAGACTGAATCAGCAAGTTAGAAGACAAGGTAGAAAAAAACACCCAAATAGAGCAGCAAATGGGGAAAAAAATTAAAAGCAGGAGGAGAGTTTAAGGGAGCTTTGGAACAACACAAAACGTAACAACATTTGCATCACAGGGGTACCAGAAAAAGAAGAATCAGAGAAAGGAATAGAGAACCTGTTTGAATAAATAATGACAGAAAACATCCCTAAATTGGTGAAGGTTCTTCCATGTTGCAACATGGATCAGTACTGCATTTATTTTTATTGCTGAATATATTTCACTGTATGAATATACCACATTTTATTTATTTATTCATCAGTTGTTGGACATTTACATTGTTTCTACCCTGGCTATTATGAACAATGACAGGCATCCATTGAACAATTATTTGCATTTAGATAATTTCTCTTTATAATCCTCACCCAAGTATATTTTTCTGTTTATCTTCAGATTGAATGGGAGGGAGAGAAAGGGAGAGAGATAGAAACATCTACGTGAAAGGGACAGATTGACTGGTTGTCTCCCACAAGACCCTGTCCAGGGCCGGGGACAAACTGCAACCAAGGTACATGCCCTTGGCTAGAATTGAACCCCCGACTCATTGGTCTGTGGGCTGACGCTGTACCGCTGAGCTAAACCAGCCAGGGCTAGATAATTTCTTTTAAGTGGCATGTATTCTTTGTAGAAAATATGAAAAACCCCAAAGAATATAAAGAATATGATAATACTTATTTATAAATAACCCCACCACTCAAATATAAGCTTTGTTAACACTTCTATGGGAAAGAATACATGTTTTGCCTGGCTAGTGTGGCTCAGTGGATTGAACATCGTCCCACAGACTGAGAAGTCCCAGTTCGATTCCTGGTCAGGGCACATGCCTGGGTTGGGGGCTCAGTCCCCAGTAGGGCATGTACAGGAGGCAGCTGATCAATGCTTCTCTCTTACATTGATGTTTCTATCTCTCCCTTCCTCTCTCTCAAAAAATCAATAAAAACATTTTTAAAAAAGAATACATGTTTATGTAGTTCATTAACTCCTTGTTTCTCTTTGAGATTTACTTTTCATTTAAGCAGATTTTATTTGCCAAATCACTGAAAGACTGGCCAGCTGTAGCTGTAATAAATAATTTATAAAATATTGTTCAGTGGGAGTACAGTAGTTATTAGCTAATCAGATGGGGAGGGAGAAGGGTTTAGAGAAAGTTTCCCAGAGGAGAAAACATACAGCAGAAATATGCCTATGTTCCTTATACTAGTAAGTAAGTAAAACATTTAGGTTTCTAATAAGGTCACATTTGTTCTGTTGTAGGAAACTGGCAGGATGTACAGTTTTTATCACAGGTGCAAGCCGTGGCATTGGCAAAGCTATTGCATTGAAAGCAGCAAAGGATGGAGCAAATATTGTCATTGCTGCGAAGACTACACAAGTACACCCCAAACTTCCAGGCACAATCTATACTGCTGCTGAAGAAAGTGAGTATGACAATGTTTTTCATGAGATGTCCTCACTGTGGTTTGAATACATAGAGAATTTGCTGGAAAGTTAAATTAAAGCTATTGGAAAGCTACCCTAAAAATAATTGTATCTGTTTAAAGTATTTCTGATCACCTTAGAGTGATCAGAAACTGTCTTTCTCCCCCAGCACTTTTTAGTGATATGAGAGACTCCCATTAAAAATCATCTCAGCCTGGCTGGTGTGGCTTAGTGGTTGAGCATCGACCCATGTACCAAGAGGTACATCGATTCCCAGTCAGGGCACATGCCCAGGTTGTGGGTCAAATCCCCAGTGGGGGCATGCAGGAGGTGGCCGATTGATGTTTCCATCTCTCTCTCCCTCTCCCTTCCTCTCTCTCTAAAATCAATAAAGAAAAAAAATATTAAAAATAAAAATTAATGTCTCATGTCCTGGCTGGTTTAGCTCAGCAAATAGAGTGTTGGCCTGAGGACCAAAGAGTTGCAGGTTTGATTGCAGGTCAAGGGCTCGTACCTCAGTTGTGGGTTTGATCCCCAGCTCGGGTCCTGAGGGAGGCAGCCAGTAGAAGTGTCTCTCTGACTTCGATGTTTCTCTCTCTCTCTTTCCCATCCTCCCTTCCACTCTATCTAAAAAAAAACAACCCATGGAAAAATATCCTCGGGTGAGGGAAAAAAATCTTGTAATCATGTCTTACGAGGGCAGTTCTTGGATCTGAGCAGAGAATGGGGGAGTGAAAGTAGAAAGGAGAAAATTTGAGAGGTGGATGATGTGAACTTTGAAAAGGCTCTCTCTGTTAACTTATTCTCTGTACCATTTGCAAGTCATTATTTTTATTTATTTATTTATTAACAAAAAAAAAATGTTTTTTATTGATTTTAGAGAGAGAGGAAGGGAGAGGAAGAGAGAGAACACTGATTGGCTGCCTCCTGCATGCCTGCCACTGGGGATTGGGCCTACAACCTGGGCATGTGCCCTGACCAGGAATCGAACTGGTGACCTCTTGGTGCATGGGTCGACTCTCAACCACTGAGCCCCACCGGCAGGGCGCAAATCATTATTTTAAGACTTTCAGTTCACAGTAATTATCTAGTTGCTTATATTCAAGGCATTGTGCAGGCACAGTGCCAGGAGGGAGAGCTAAAAATTCAGCTTCAGTTGAGGTTGCTGGTTTTGTTAGTTATGTTAATAGCACTGTGGTTATGTTAGGGGAATACGTATGAAATATTGATGAGTGAAATGATGTCTGGGATTTGTTTTAAAATACATCAGCAAAAAACAAGCGGATTGGAATTAGATAAATTGAACTGGCTAACCATTAACAATAATTTAAAATAGGTGATAGATTTGTGGTAGTTTATTATACTGTTTTTTTATATTTTTTGACAGTTTTCATAAGAGTTTTTAAAAATTACCCTCTTTTTTAGTTTTTTAATAGAATTTTAAAATTCCTCTGTTTTTTAATGGAACTGGACTACCTAGTCTGAAGTTGGATCTGGGTTAGTCCATCTATCCTGTAGGGATGGAGTCACTAGTTAGTTATGAGATATAACTATTTATATTGGTTTTCTGAAAATAGTGTACTTATTTCTTTTGACTTTCATATCAGAATGAAAGGTTTAATATTTATGTGCTTGAATGCTCTTTTTGTTTATTTATCCTTCATAGTTGAAGCCGCTGGAGGAAAGGCCTTGCCATGTATTGTTGATGTGAGAGACGAACAGCAAATCAGTAATGCGGTGGAGAAGGCAGTTGAGAAATTTGGAGGTAGTGCCTTAATTCTGAATTAATTACTGCATATAAATAAAATACAGGTGTAACTATAACTTTAATTTAAAAAAATTTTTGAGTCTTTGGAGTATAACCAGAAATGAGTATTGCTTATATAGAAATGAAGCTTTAAACATCTGATGAGTTTTTATTTTGATTTGGTAAGAATTATTTTGAATAATATAACAAATTTATCATCCAATATAAGGTTAGCACCTCAACAATAGCATACATCTAACTAAAACTAGTTTCCCATATCCCATTCTCTTGCCTCTCTTCAGTTAATATAACCACATGTTACATATGGGGGCGGGGGGTGAATACAAGGTACAGCAATAATTATTATTCTAGATTAATTTTATTTTATGAATGAGTTATGACAACACACTTGATCTACTTTGATGATTTGCCTGGAATGGAAACTCTGGGTCTTTTCTCTTTTCCCAGTTCCTAAGACCAGAAAAGAGGTCTTTCATTTCAGTAAGGGCCTTAGAAGGGAGGGAGACCTGTGTTCTTGGTAGGAGAGCAGGCCTTGGAAAGATGCTAGAGAGTAGGGGAAACTTTAAGGAAATTAACCTAAAGTTCTTGGAGACAAGGAGGGATGACAAGGAGGTAAGAGAACAGATGACAATGGAAGCTACAAACCACTAAGGACTAAGGACTCTTGTAGTTTCATATGGAGCTCTGGTGATTGGCTGTCTCCATTGTGCCAGTGAACATCATTTGGGTGTTTTGACACAGCTGCTTAGTCTTACGTTGGTATATTGGTCAGTTATTTTATCTAAAAAAAGTATTTATGAACCAATTTAGGGCTCAACTATACAAAGTAAATGTTTTTATTTTTGTTATAAAGTTTAAATTACATTAATAGGAAGTTGTTTATTTGAAAACAGGAATTGATATCTTAGTGAATAATGCCAGTGCTATTAGCTTGACCAACACAATGGAAACACCTACGAAGAGGGTGGATTTGATGATGAATGTCAACACCAGAGGCACCTACCTTACGTAAGTTACAGAGTTGTCGGGGAAAATGTGGTAATGTTTTCTCAGAGGACTAGTAGTAAACAGATTTGAGCCAGATTAGCAATACAATTTAAAATCCAGTCAATCCTGCCCCAATGTTGTGGCTCAGTGGGTTGACTATTATCCCATGAACTGAGGTCCTGGTTTAATTCCTGGTCAGAGCACATGCCTGGGTTGCAGGCTCAATCCCTGGTGGGAGGTGTGCAGGAGGTGCCGATTGATGTTTCTCTCTCATATCGATGTTTCTACCTCTCTCTAAAAACATCTATTAAAACATATTTTTAAAAAATTAAAAAATAGCCCTGGCTGGTTTGGCTCAGCGGTTGGAGCGTTGGCCTGCAGTACAGAGAGACCCGGGTTCGGTTTCCACTAAGGGCACGTACCTCGGTTGTAGTTTGTCCCGGCCCTGGTTGGTCGTGTGGGTGGCGGCCACTCGATGTGTCCCTTTCACGTCGATGTTTCTCTCTCTCTCTCTCTCTCCCTCTCTCCCCCTCCCGCTCTGTCTGAACAAAAAATGGAAAAATGTCCTCGGGTGAGGATAAAAAATAAATAAATAAAAATTAAAAAATAAATAAAATCTAATCAATCCTTATGAAGGCCTAAAAGTGCTCCAAGTTAGTAGATAGTATATTAAATAATTTTATTCAGAGCTCCTTTTCTCTGTGAATTTAATAAATACTTAAGTATAGCTCAAACATTTTCAAATATTTGCATGAATAAGTATATGTTTACCAAGTCTTCTTATTACTCAAGTCAGCAATAGTCTCTCCTTTCTTTGAAAAACACTTGAGTTTTAATTATATAAATAACAGGAAGCTCACTATAAATTACATTTTAATGTAACCAACAAAAGGCTAATGCTATCTTGGGCAGCATCAGGGGAAATTCAGAATATAGAATGAAAGTAAGTGTGGTCCTGATCTGTTCTGGATTGGTCAGACAGTTCATCGTTTTTATTTGTCCATTTATCTGTTTATTTCCCCTCAGGTGTTACCATTTTTCATGTGGACATAAGGATAGATCTGCACAGAACTTGCTTGTCTGCCTTACTTGTATCTCTTAAAAGTATACACCGAACAGATGGTTAAGACCTTGGGCTTTGGAGTCAGACTCTGAGGAGGGTTCATATCCTGTCCCCACTCTTCCTGACTTGCTATCTGATGACCTTGTGCAAGTAACTAAACCTCTTTATAGATTCTATTTCCTTATTTGTAAAGTGGGGATGATTAAGTATGTCCTAGGATTGGTCATAAGAGTTAAAGGTAAAATTTGTTGTTAGTCCAGAACTTTGCCCTTAGGTGAGTTTTATTGGGTCTGCAAAACGTGGCCCTGGCAATGTTAAAAAATTTGTTTTTATAGTTATCTACATTCAAAATTTCATTAGTTGTCCACATTTTAAAAAGCAGGAGATTTACACAAAAATCCAGATTTTTGGCTTTTCTTAAAACATTGGAAAATCTAGCCACGTACAAAAACAGCATTCCCACATGGCAATAGCTGCTGTAGCTGAGTAGCAGAGTATCAACTGCTTGTTAGATGGAGCATGAGCTCTATTGTCTTCTGGATGCTGAGGACAGGCTAAAAGATTACCATTTATTATTGTGTTTGCACAGTTGTTTTTCTTATAATAAAGAGGAAAGTATAATATTTTTCATACCCATTTCTATGTTTGATGTATGAAAATGTGATATATGCCAAGAGGGCCACGTGCTCAAGGAAAATGAGAGCCTACGTTGTGGATAGGTCATATTTCTATAAATTCAATATGTAAGGTATATCTCTATTGAATGGAAACCAGGATGAATCCAACCACAGTAAGAACAGTGGCAAGCATATAGAAAAGATTGTGATGACAAACTTAATGGACTAGAAGAAGGACTAACATTTCAATAGGGTTTGTGTTTATTTTCAAATAAAATAAGCAATGCTGCTGTGTGATGCAGTTATGTGTTGCATGAAAAAATGATCTGACCGTCATAATTTTTTACAGCTGGTAACTTTGTGGAAGAATTTTGATTGAATGTGAACACTCATTTGAACAATTGTTTAAAACTATAAACCTTACCACAAATACTATTGCTTATTGTATTGAATTAAGGCTAGAAGGGCATGATGTATGTAAAAGTTAAGTCATATGTGCCAGTTTCTATTGTAGATGATACCACAGATAGAAATATTCCCCTCACCTAGTTATATTTATTTAGTGTCAGGAGAATTTTGATATGATTTAAAAATAGTTTAGCCTGGGTACTTGTGACATGAACATCAGGAAATGGCTTGTTAAGTATTGAGAAATATCTTAGGAAGTTTAATGTAGATTTGTCAAAATTAATAATTGTAGCTAGGCAGTGCTGCTGTAATGGTCAGTGTCAACTTTATACTTATTAAAAACTTAAGATGTAGAATGTTTCACAGAGGTGCAGAAATTAGTTTTGTTCATTGTATTGTTTACAAGATACAAAGATATAAAAAGTGTCTTTCTGAAAAGTGAAAAATGGCCCTGGCTGGTTTGGCTCAGCAGTTAGAGCATGGGCCTTTGGACCGAAGGGTCACTGGTTCAGTTCTGGTCAAGGGCACGTACCTGGGTTGCAGGTTTGATTCTGGCCCCAGTCTTGCGGGAGGCAACCAATCGATGTGTGTCTCTTACATCTGTGTTTCTCTCTCTCTCTCTCTCTCTCTCTCTCTCTCTCTCTCTTTCCCTTTCTTCCACCCTCTCTTAAAAAACAAAAGGTAAAAAATGGACTATGTTATGAATTCTAAGTACTAAATATACCTCCATGGTTTGAAACACATTCACTGCTTTAGTCATGTTGAATACAAACATCATCTTCTGTATGACAAGATCGTATGGCCAGTGTATTGTTGAAGAAATTTACTCTCTTTGCCTCTCAAGAGAGAATTTACAAGTTTAGTTCCCAAAGAATGCGTCAAAGACTTAGCTTTTTAGTTGACATTATGAGTTATATAAACACAAATGTATGATTCTCATTGTTCATTCCTTGCGAAATTATGTCCTTTGAAGACCCATTTGGCAAGAGCGGTCTGTACCTTTATCTATATACTGAGGTCATTTTCTTTTTTCCAAATTAATTTTATTTTGGTCATCAGGTCACAGCCTGGGTATATTAAAAAGGATAATTAAATGCTTAAAATGTTGCCAAGAGTGTGGCTCTGTTGGTTGGGTATCCTCCCATGCACCAAAGGGTTGCTGGTTCGATTCCTGGTCAGGACGCATGCCCTGGTGGCGCACTCCAACCCCAGGAGGGGCGTGCAGGACGTAGCCGATCCATGTTTCACTCTCATATTGATCTTTCCCTCTCTCTCTCCCTTCCTCTCTCCTGTTTCCACCCGGGTTCCTCAGGGGCAGAAGAGAGTGTACTTTTGCTTTAGGAGGTTCGAGAGCAAAATCAAATGCAGCAGGAAGCATGATATTCCTTGATGCCAGTCTTGAAACTGAGTTGCATCCAAAGACATATCTTTCTGTCAGTCAATGGAATGGAAAAGCAATTAAGTCATTACTGATGTCTATTTCAGAGAAACCAACTGGCTATCCTAACCACATCACATAAATACATTTGCTGAATTGAGTTCTCTCTCACTCTCTGTAGTTGTTCCTACTGAGGTCATTTTCTAAGAAAGAAAATGATGGCCTAAACTACATTCCTGTAGTTGTAGATTTGAAGGTTCAGTTTAAAACAAAACAAAAAAGCCCTGATTTCAGACTAGAAGGCACTAACCTTGTTCAGTTGCCTTTCTCAGTGAATACTATTTGTGTCATTGAATCACTACAGATGGAATATATAAGCCATGGGGCTCTAAGGTACTGAAAACAATTAGTATGCTGGAAAAGCAGATCTACAAATGCCTCGGGAATAGATGGCCTAAAGCAGAAACCCTTTTTCTAAAGCAAAGATTCTATTCACTGTTGAAAGTTCCCACACTTATTAACAGCTATTTAAAAAAAATAAAACTAAATATTGTTACCAATTAAAGGCTTATTGCAATGCCAAATGAAAGACTTGACATTAGCCTTTGGGCCAAAGAAAAGGTATCAGGTTGTTGGCCTTATATGAAAGGTCTAAGATATAAAAGAGAAATTCATAATGAAATATTTCCATTTTCATTTTTTATTTTATTAGTGACACTCATTTATTCACGTAAGATAATTATAGAGCGTTTTCTCAGGGAAGCTTGAGAAGCATACTCAGGGAGAAAGTGGGGCTAAGGCCCAACGAACTGACTTATTTGGAGGTTTCAGCAAGGATCTGGACCAGTTTCCTGATCCCTGTCATCCAGAGCCTTAGGGCCTGTGACTTGTGTTTTAGTGGGTTAAAGAAACTGGGTTGGAAGGCAGAGGTGTGGTAAAAGGCAGGCCCTTAATTTTAATTTGTCTTAGTTAAATATATAATCTCCAGTATGATATGTTTGTATCATGTTAAATGCATATAGAGGTTCAGTAATAAAGTTTGTATTTTTGAACAGTTGATTTTCCTCTACCTAGCTCACTTTATTCATTGACCCAGTGCCCTATAGGCCTTTGAGCTTACAATAAGCTTTCAATAAACTTAACTATTTTATTAAGCCGAAGGTATTAGTATCTAAGCATGGTACTAAGAGATTTCAATATAATGTATAAGATAGGGCATTTTGCTATAGAAAAAGGCACCTGATTTAGGATTGGTAATGGTGAGGGCCCGTGGGAAAAATGTGGGTGGAAAGATTTTATCTAATAGATCAGAGGAGAAACTTGTGTTTCTCTCTCTCTCTTTTTTTAATCCTCACCCGAGGATATTTTTCCATTTATCTTCAGATAGAGTGGGAGGGAGGGAGAGAGAGAGAGATAAACATTAATGTGAGAGAGACACATCAATTTGTTGCCGAACCACAACCAAGGTACATGCCCTTGGCTGGAATCAAACCGGTGACTCTGGTCCATGGGCCAGCAGTCTAACTACTGAGCCAAACCGGCCAGGGCAAAGCTTGTGTTTCTAATGTAAATGAAATGAGCTCTTTCCTTTAAATGTGAAATATGGTCTTATTGTCTGGAATAGATTTTGTTTGTTTCCTATTGCTGTTTTGAGGTGGACTTCACTGTTTTAATGACTATCCTTTATATGGCATTAATACCGTTTGCCCCTCCCTACCTCACCCCCATAAAAGTGAAGCACCTTTGAAAAGGAATTATATAAAAACCCTTTAGTGGTACTACTTGTATTTGGTTTATAAACTTGAAGAGATATTGCTGATGGTTACAAGAATATTGTACATTTGGTAAAAAGAAAACTGACTCGAGCCCTGGCTGGTTTGGCTCAGTGGTTGGTGCGTCGGCCCGTGGACCAGAGAGTCCCAGGTTTGGTTCCCACTAAGAGCACGTACCTCGGTTGCAGTTTGTCCCTGGCCCTCATAGGGGTTGTGTGGGTGGCGACCACTCGATGTGTCTCTTTCACATCGATGTTTCTCTCTCTCTCTTCCTCTCTCCCTCCCGCTCTATCTGATGATAAATGCAAAAAAAGAAAACCAACTTGAAAGAAGAATGGACAAGTTCAAGTCCTAGAAGTTATTGAATGTGAAATAAAACTAAAAGGTATAAAATTATTAAGCTACAATATTTAACATGTTATAGCTTAATAATGAAAAAATTTAGAATATTGGACCTGAGCCTCCTGTAAAATAAATTGCCTACCTTTATAAACAATATTAAAAAAACAGAGAACTAAATATTGCTCCCAAAGGCATATTGCATTGCATATTGGTGCAAATTAAATTTGGGAATGTATTGGGAATTATGTTATTAAATTACAATTCCAGCAAAGTAAGAATAGCACATCTTCTAAGATGAAATAAGTCAGCCTATATAATACTAATAATAGCAGTTGTTTATCTAACGTTTAACATATGTACTGTTTTAAATGTCTCATATATATCATCTCATTTTATTCCTTGGTCAATCCTAGATGGTAGCAGGTATTACCTACATTTACTAGTGAGAAAGCTGAGAAGTAGAATGCTCTATATTTTTCCCAGAATCACACAAGGAAGGGGCAGAAGGAAGATTTGAACCTATGTCTGTCTGACTTGAATACCCATATTCTTTGGCCATAGTACAAGCTGTGCTGGCCGACAATTACATTACCTGTTACTGAAAAGTGTGTATGTGTGTGTGTGTGTGTGTGTTGGGGAGGGAGAATTTGGAAAGATATACTTGAGGATAACCTTAGTTGGATTTAAGGCTAATGTGCCAAGGATTTTATGATTATCATCAAGCAGATTATGTTTTCAGGCCAATAAACAGTATTTCAAGGATGAAAATTAGTTGCTTTTCCTATATTCATTCTAGAATAGTAAAAACAAACAAATATACTCTACAGATTATTGAACAAATTCAGTTGCTCTGTAGAAGTAGTTTATTTATTTTTTATTTTTATTTATTTATTTTTTTAATCCTCACCAAGGACATTTTTCTATTTTTTGTTCAGACAGAGTGGGAGGGAGAGAGAGGAAGAGAGAGAGAGAGAGAGAGAGAGAAACATCGACGTGAAGGGTACACATCGAGTGGCCGCCACCCACAAGACCAACCAGGGCCGGGGACAAACTGCAACCGAGGTACATGCCCTTAGCGGGAACCGAACCTGGGTCTCTCTGACCGCAGGTCGATGCTGTAACCGCTGAGCCAAACCAGCCAGGGCTGTAGAAGTAGTTTAAAGTATTACTTTAGCCTAGCTGGTGTGATTCAGTGGATTGAGCGTCATCCCGTGCACCAAGAAGTCGTAGGTTCAATTCCCGGTCAGGGCACATGCCCAGGCTGTGGGCCGATCCCCAGTGTGGGGCATGCAGGAGGCAGCCGATCGATGTTCTCTTTCATCGATGTTTCTATTGCCCTCTCCCTCTCCCTTCCTCTATCTCTAAAATCAATAAAGAAAAATATTTAAATATATATACATATATATAAAGTTATATATATATAACTTTAAAAAGTGGGGTGTTGTCAGAAAGCTATTAATTTGACTTGCGTTTTCTTTTGCTTTCAGGTCTAAAGCATGTATTCCTTATTTGAAAAAGAGTAAAGTTGCTCATATCCTCAATCTCAGCCCACCACTGAACCTAAATCCACTGTGGTTCAAACAACACTGTGGTAGGTGGTAAGATGAGGGGATGGTTTGTTCATTTGTGTTGTATTAAATCAGTGTATCTATTATGTAATCACAGTTTATATATAGCATTCAGCACTACATTTTCTGTGCAGAATCGGTAGCATTTTGGAAAGTAGATTCTTAATCTCTTGTCTGTAATTATAGAATTGAGGTATGATTCACATTCAGTAAAATGCACAGATCTTAATGGTTCAGTCTGATGAGTTTTGACAAATGTATACAACTGTATAACCAACACCCAAATCAAGATATGCATTTCCATCATCCCAGAAAGCTCCCTCAAGTTCCAGTGGGTATGTTTTATTGAATGTAACTTATTCTTCAGTAAAGTTGGTTAAAAACTATTCATGAAATACTGTACCTTTCACAGAACTAATGATTTAAGGTGAATATGTTAAATAATACAATTTATGTATAAGTGACTCCTTTAAAATAGTTGTATCAGAGACTTAGTCCTTATTGCACAGAGCAAAACTGAAAGATATTTTATTTTCATTGACAAGGTTAAACAAGTTTACAACTTTTAGTTGTTGTTGTTGTTTTACTAGTGGTAGTTTCCTTGTGATCACTTTCTTTCTTTAAAAAGAAAAATAAAACAGACTAAGAAATAAGGAAAATGAAAGCTTATTTTATTCTTTTAATAACATTTTAGGATAGAAATATATAAAGTAACTCATCCCTGTTCAGCTATCTCCATAAAAACTCTTTTCTTAAAGAGAGTACATTTAAAAAATTGTTTTATATATATTATTAAATAATTCTTTAAAAATGTATCAGAAAGGAAATAGTAATGGAAAGAAATTGATTATTTCTATTCACAGATTAATTTATTTCTTAATTAAATACTTTTTTGTTGTTGTTCTTTCAGCTTATACCATTGCTAAATATGGTATGTCTATGTGTGTGCTTGGAATGGCAGAAGAATTTAAAGGTGAAATTGCAGTCAATGCATTATGGCCTAAAACAGGTATATACTTCAAAAAATTTGTTTAAATTCTCATTTATTGTTCTTATTTATTTATTTATTTATTTATCCTCACCTGAGGACATTTTTCCATTTTTTGTTCAGATAGAGTGGGAGGGAGAGAGAAGGAGAGAGAGAGAGAAACATCGATGTAAAAGGGACACATCGAGTGGCTGCCACCCGCATGACCCAACCAGGGCCGGGGACAAACTGCAACCGAGGTACATGCCCTTAATGGGAACCGAACCCAGGTCTCTCCGGACTGCAGGCCAATGCTCTAACTGCTGAGCCAAACTGGCCAGGGCTATTGTTCTTTAAAAAAAAAAAAATTTTACTTATTGATTTTAGAGAGAGAGAGGGAGGAATGGCAGGAGAGGGAGAGACAGAGAGATAGAGAGAGAGACATTGATTTGTGATTCCACTAATTTATGCATTCATTGGTTGCTTTTTGTATTATGTGCCCGGACTGGAGATTGAACCTGCAACCTTGGCATATCAGGACAATGTTCTTTATACGTTTTTCCATATATTTAATAATAATGCTTGTGAAAACCTTAACTTCTTTCATCGTATGTCTAAATGGCAATCTTATGCCAGAAATGTGTGTTTAATGATAAAGAAAATACATAGTGGGAGCCAGTTTTTCATTTTACTTTTAAAAAATTTAATGGAACTTGTATTACATTGACAACAGAACTTAAACCTGTAAGTTAGTATGACTCCATTCCAAGTAAACTCCTTTGGGATCAATAGTGGTGTTTCTGCTCCTGGGACAGTGCCCTGCATATGGTGGCTACTCAGATATTTATTGAATGAATGATAATTTTGGATTCCCTTTGGAAGCATCTTTATATTCTTCATTACATTTCTTGAAACATACAGATGGCAATTGGAATATTTTCCACATATTTGAAGGTAGAGGCGTTTCTGGAAAGTCGGCTATTAGAAGTCACGTCCTTGCTGTCCTTCCTTTCCGAGCAGCAACAAACCCCTGAGTGGAGTAGGTGTTGAGGTGGCAGGGGGGCAGGAAGAAGTGAACAAGGCATTGATTCTATAAGAGAAGTAAATGAACTTTTGAAGGATGTTGTTCCCTTCTGGGCCAGAGGACAGCATGGGGCCAACACTGGAGAGAAAATAAATACTTAACTCAGAGAGTTTCCTGGAGAGAGCTTGACTTATGGAGTTCTGAGGACATAACAGGATGATGCAATAGGTCAGATAAGTATTTTCCACCCTTGAGGCTGGGATAGTGAGGGGACCAGGGAGACTTATTTAGGCCTCCAGATGGATTCAGTTACTGATACATCTGATACATCTGATACATCACCTACTCATGGGGCAGAGACAGCTGTATTTGCTACTGCTGACAAGGTTGCCACCATTTAAATTATCTAAGTGTGAATAGAGCAATTAGGAGACAAAAAAGAAAAGTGCAGTGCAGCTAATGTCCAGACACAGAAAGAAGAAACAATGCACCCAGAAGTACAGCTTTCAGTGAGACAAAACTGCTAAAGGAAACAGAAAATACCTTGATTAAATAAATACAACTAACCACTTAAGAGTTTGAATTATAGCATGAAAAGTGATTTTTGGAACTACACAGGGATTGTGTTTTGAATTAAAATAATAGTATAGTAGTTGAAGAATTGAATGGTCGCTGTTAACACCTGAATAAACTAGCTTATAAGTTCAAGTGTAAGAGATATCTCAGGGCAAAAACACCCTGAAGAAAAAAAAGAGACACCTTGGAAACATCACATGCAAATATTAGGAGTCCCAGGAGGAGGATAAAAAAACAAATAAAGGAGAAATAATAATTGAACATTTATTGGCAAGAGGAAAGAAAGATATGGGGACATGCGAGGATATCACATTTGAGAAAAATCTAAGGTGTTTAACCAAACAAATCAATCAGAGAAGAGACTTTTCAAAATAGAGGGAAATGAAGAGAGGAAATAATGACAAGCAAATAATCCTGTAATTTATATGGTTAGATGTAAATGAGTTATGATAGAACTACTGGGAATATGAAATATAAGTATAAAATAAGAACTTGATATAGACGAGATACTATAAGAGAAAACTTTAAGGTTAGTTTCTAACCAAAAGCACTAAACTGTCTTTTAAAAACTGAGATGGGGAGGGAGAAATATGGAAGTTGTTGAATTCTGTAGAGCATATATGAGCATGGGAGAGTGGAGAAGAAAAAATATTCTAACAATCTCATCTTGGGACAGCCACAGTTCTAGGTATAGTATGTTTTGAAATAATTGTTTTTTCTATTTGGTGCAGAAGTATGGAAATGCTCTTGTTTATTTATTTATTTTTAAATTTATCTTTATTGGTGAAAGCATTACAAATGTCTTTTTTCCCCCCAATAATCCCCTCCTCCCCACTTCTTCCTCTCCCCCAGCCTTCACTACACTATAAGGGTATTCAAATTAGACAACTACCTTGTAAACTTTATTATTTTAGTAATTTATCTGTAGATTCTTTTGGATTTTCTATCTAGGTCATACAAACAATATTTATTTCTCCTAATTCTTTTACACTTGGTTGTTGTTTTTTTTTCTCGCTTTACTGTGCTCACCCTCTCCTGTCTCCTCCCTATCAGTAGATTTCTCTTAATGTTTTTTTTCAGATTTTTTAAAAGTTATCTTTATTATTGAATGTATGCCCCCTCGTTTTCCCCATTTACCCCTCCTCCCCAATCCCGCCCCCCTCCTGCATTCCCCACACTATTATCTATGTCCATTGGTTGTGCATATATGCATAGAAGTTCTTTGGTTTATCTCATCCCGCCCTTCCTCCCCCCTTCCCTTTGCGTTTCATCAGTGTAACAACCAATTTGTATTTCTTACTTACTTCATCTTTTCTACCCATCCCCCCATGCCCCACCCATCTGGCAAGCAACAAAATGATCTCTGTATCTATGAGTCTGTTTCTGTTCTGCTTGCTCATTTTGTTTGTAAATTCAGTTGTTGATAGATATGTATTAATTGCCATTTTATTGTGCATATTTTTGTTGTTGTTCTCCTTCAAGAAGACCCTTCAACATTTCATATAACACTGGTTTGGTGGTGACAAACTCCTTTAGCTTTTTATGTCCATCAATTCTAAATGATAGCTTTGCAGTGTAGAGTAATCTTGGTTGTAGGTTGTTGTTTTTCATCACCTTGAATATCTCTTGCCACTCCTTTCTGGCCTGCAAAGTTTCTCTTGAGAAATCAGCTGAAAGTCTTATGGGAGCTCCTTTGTAGGTAACGAACTGCTTTTCTCTTGCTGCTTTAATATTCTCTCTTTGTCTTTAACCTTTGGCATTTTGTTGATGATGTGGACCTCTTTGGGTTCATCTTGTTTGGGACTCTGTGCTTTCTGGACTTGTATGTGTTTCCTTCACCAAGTTAGGGAAGTTTTCCATCATTATTGTTTCAAATAGGTTTTCAATTTCTTGCTCTTTCTCTTCTCCTTCTGGCACCCCCATGATGTGAATGTTGGTATGCTCGATGTTGTGCCAGAGGCACTATCCTCATTTTTTTGGATTCCTTTTTCTTTTTGCTGTTCTGATTGGGTGTTTTTTGCTTCCTTATATTGCAAATCAATGGTTTGCTTTATGGATTTACCTACTCTACTATTGATTCCCTGTAAATTATTATTTATTTCAGTTAGTGCATCTTTCATTTCTGACTGGACCTTTTTTATGTTGTTGATGTTCTCACTAAGGTCCTTGGAGTTCTCTTTAAGTTCCTTGAGCATTCTTATAAGCAGTGTTCTGAACTCTGCATCTGATTGATTGTTTATCTCCATTTTGTTTAGTTCTTTTCCTGGAGTTTTGTTCTTTTCTTTCATTTGGGACATGTTTCTTTTTTCTCTTCATTTTGGCTGCTTCCCTGTGTTTGTTTCTGTGTATTAGGTAGAGTTGCTTTGTCTCCTAGGCTTCGTAGGGTGGCCTATTATTGTAGGTGTCCTGTAGGATCCAGTGGCACAGCCTCCCTGATCACCCCACCTGGGCCCTCGTGTGCACCCCTAGTGTGGACTATACACCCTTCTGTTATAATTGAGTCTTGATTGCTGTTGGCAAGTCAATGGGAGGGTTTTACTCAGGCTGATCAGCTGCAAGGACTGGCTGTGCCCACTGGCCACTGGCCTCTGACTCCCTTGGAGGATCAGCTATATAAAGGCCCCCCACACAGAGCAATACTTACTTCAGCAGGGTTCAGGTACCTACTGCGTCCACTCATTGAGAGTGTCATTTGTGGAGGTGGTTGGGTGGTGGTGCTTCAATGTGGTCTGAAGCTATCTACTGAGTGTGCTGGCTCTGGGACAAGGTCAGCCACTGCCCGTGTTCTACCCCGGGGCCACCAGGCATAAGCTAGCTACAAAGTGATCTGTCGATGCCTGCTTCTTGTGCTTGGCTTCGAGGTGTCCAGGAAAAGCCAGGTTGTGAACCAAGTCTGGCTGCTTCTAGATCCAAGCCTGGGGCCACTTAACAAGAGGTATATGGCTCACTGAGACCAGATGCTGCTTGTTTGAAAGATTTTAGGAAAATGTGAAGCAGGATCCAAGACAGGCCAATCCTATGCTAAAGCCACTGGAAACAGCTTGGGTGGACTTGAAAGTTGGGTGGGGCTGGGCCTCAAGGAATCAGCAGGGCAGGGCAGACAGTGTGAGCCAGGTTGCTGGAGTCCCAGATGTGGTGGCCATCTGCTGCCCCAGGGAAGGGCTCACCAAAGGAACAACGGCCTCCACCAGCAAGTCTGTCCAGAAAAAGCTGCCCCTCCAGCCCTCCTACCTAAGCCAAACAGCTCAGTTCTTCCCAGTATGGCTCTGGTGCCTTTCAAGCAGCTTCCTCTCTGAGCTCAGAGCTCAGAGGGGGCAAATCCAAGTAAGTCAGAGTGTGAGCCCTTTGAGAGAAATTGACTGGGGCACCAGTAGCCACAACCTTCCTTAGCCTCAGTTCTCACTGCTTTTTATAGCCAGAAGTGATGGGGACTTCTCTTCCT